CATATATTTTTTTGGATTAACGTCTTGGTGACTTCAGTGTTTTTAATGTCATAGGCAATCCTGAAGAAGTCTGCAGAATAAGAAATACCAAGATGTTTTTCTGTGCGAAAGAAATAAAACAAAATTAATTTTGTACTTTTGAAATGCAAACAAGTTTAATTTTTTCTCACTTATTTAAATAGTACCTTAACTAAAAGCTAACAGGCATTGTCATAGACTTTAGATATAGGGGACAGAAGTTCTCTAAGAGTTCGCTCAACTCTCCCTCTGGCCTACCCGATTCAATATCCCAAACTGGTGTTACCCTGCCTCACAACTCCCTCTCCATACCCTGACCATTTTTCACCCTTAAAACTTCTAACCTCTAACATTATATGTAATTTATTTGTTTTGTGCTGATTGTATATTATTTTCTGTTTATTGCTATATTGTAATTGCCAGAGTGCTAGATTTAAAACAAACAAACAAACAAACAAAAAACAATTGTTTACTGATGTAGTCCAGATGCCTAGAAAAATGCCAGTTACAGAAGCTACGGAGTGATTGATAACAGGGCAAAGAGGGTCAAGTATATGGGGATGGGAGAAAAACTGACTCTGGTGGTGAACACAGAATGCAATATATAGATGATGTATTATAGAACCATACACTTGAAACCTATTTAACTTTACTAACCAGTGTCATCCCAATAAATTTAATAAAAATAAAAAATTTAATGAATAAAATATTTAAACAATTAGCAACAACACAGCAAATGTTTAAAAAACTGTGAAATTTGTCTATTTCCTATTAGAATACATATTTGAAAAATTATGTTACTCCTTTGATAAAAAGTTACATGAAGAATACAAATAGATACTAATTTTTCTTCAATTATGAACTAAAGCAATTCCCATGGTAAATGTTAAAACTTTAAAACTTTTAAATGTTAAAACTTATGTATTGCTTACTGTTAGTTGCAGATGAAGAACAAATATAGCTCTGTTGAATCACAGATGGGCTGTTTTTGTATCCTTGTGATGAATAATAAAATTAGAAAATATTAAGCTGAAAAATTAAAGATTTTAAAACATCTTAAGGGGAAACAATTTCAGTGTGAGATACTTGTATCATCTTAACATTAGGACATAACTAAGATTCACTTTATTTTAATTTATTTTTTTAAAGATTTTTATTGGGGAATTGGGGGATGGGAACTGCACAGTTTAGTTAAAATATCTTGTTTATCAAACCTAACCACAATGTTCCTTATGTGTTATCTCCATATTTCTTGTGAAATTTGAAGAAGTGACTTCCAAAATGATTCAATATCTGGACCTAAAAACACCTGAAAGTTTTGTTGCTACAAAATTTAATTAAAAATAACACTTTTTAATGGTACAGACACACATTATATTTGTTTCTGTTTGTAATAACGTGTAAATCAATTAAAAATGATATGAGAACCAGATGTTATAAGGACATATTTGATAATTAACAATAGCTTTCCTTAATTACATAGCTGTTACTCAGATTCAAATTTGAAACTGCATTTGACTTATCAGTTATTTCTCTTTACAGGTATTTGCAATGTCATGTTTCTGAATACTATGCTGAAGACCTACAAATGAGGTATAGTATATTTTATTTTATATTGAAGTTTATATTTAAGGCCTCATGTCAATAGTTTAGTAAGTAGGAGTTGTATCTCATAAAGAAAATCGAACGTAAATTGTTGGTTTTAGGATCCAAGTTACAAGCATCATCTATATGTTGACAATTCCTTTATGAATGTTCTTTTGTTTTATTGAAAATCTACTCCTATGGACATATCTTAGTTTCTCTGCCATCCAACAAAGACTTTCTTGCTAAATATCAAAAGGTGACTGTGATGTTCCAATTGATTCGTTGAAAGGAACTCATGCAGAAACAGTTGTTCAAATCCAACAGCCACAAGGACAAAACCATGGGAAACTTGAATTTATCAATGTCAGGAAAAACATAAAATCTAAAATCTGAGTGTGGCCTGCTGTTAAGAGACTGAAATATTTCATTAAAAAAAACCACACATATAGCTCTTTATTCTTGATATATATATATATATATATATATATATATATATATATATATATATATATAATGATTTATCTGAGTTACTAAAAAGTGACTGAAATTAAATTGAATTTATGTATTTTCTAAGACTATAAGTTAGTGGTGGAAGTATTATTTATTCCTTGATATATTCTGGAGGAAATTTTTGTATTGAACAACAAAAGCATTTTGATATGCAAATACATTCATTGCAGCTCTGTTTCTCTCTGAAGAGACTCTTGTGAATGTACTTCTGCCTGAGTGCTTGTTAAAAGGAAGGATGGAAGAAGGAAGGGCAGAGATGTTGAAATTTCAAAAGTAAATGCCAATTATCAAGGCCCTGGCTTTTAGGGATGTTGAATGACATGACACAATATTTTTTGAATGGTCTGATTGCAATGACGTGGGGTTCAAATTACAAATAAAACTTCAGTACTTTGAAAGGTTCAAGGTGGCGAGCTACATTTTTGCTAGGAAAGCTAATTACTTCTGAGTGTAAAAAATAAATCAAGGAACAAGCATTGAGGTTCATTATTTTAGTCATGTTTTCATTCTTAGCTTTTCACTAGAATGTTCATAAAATTCAACAGCTGAATACAAGAATTTGGAACCTTTTCAAGCCTTGTATTTCTCAGCTGTTTCTCCTCTGGTTTTGGAAGGAGACAAAATTACATGTGAATGCTGTATGAGTATAGCTCCCTATACATATTTCCAATTGAATACAGTACAGTAAACTTCAAAGCTAAATGACAAATAACTGATTTGTATTTATATTCAACAGTTTTTGTTTCTTTAAAAACTACTCTTTGATATCCTTAGGTACTTTTCAATTAATTTATTACTGGGGGTAATATAAATTCTAAAATTACGGTAGAGTAATTGTGACTAAAAAAATACCTAGACATATTCAGCTTGTCTTTCCTAGTGAAATATACCTAAAAACAATAAGAGTGATTTATCTCTTCAATCCCTGGTGTAATTAATGAGATAAATAGAAAAACATCTTGCAATAAAGCAATCCCAAATTAACCAAGAGAAGGTTTTCCACAAGAAATGTCTTGTTTTCTTTAGGAATTCTATTCGTTGGCATAATATAGTTAAAATGTTTAAAGGAGTGTACTAGTCTATGACAAATGAAGTGCACCAGGGAATGCAAAGTGGCAAAACCCTCTTTTCTAAGATGTTCAGAGAACAGTCGTCGTAAAAGTACAGTAGTGGGAAAAGAATCTACTCAAATAGAGAACATGTCTCCTGTCTTTGAGGTATTTGAGTGTGCAGTGAAGGCTCACTCAGGCAGTCAGCTCAAGAACTGCTTTGACTTCAAAAGTCTATCTGTGTGTTTGGACCAATGTTCTGACTGCCACATCCCACTGGCAGTGGGGCAGGAATAATCTGTAGAACTATAATCACCTAAGAGTAATCTAGGATTTTTTTTTATAGGTGGGCTCTTTTGTTATTGTATTTTAGGAGAAGTAAGGGGAATTAAGAATATCTACAACCCACATGATCAGTGTGCGCAATTGCTCTGTGCTTATCAGGATAAAAATAAAGACACCGTGTGTGTGCTTGTTTTTACTGTTCATTTGAAAAAGCTGCCTTTGTGTGTCCATTTTTACGTATGTCCCATATTTAAAAAGATAAAGTAATGCACATCATGTTTTCTTATCTGAATTTTTATTCATGATTCTGCTGTCAGAATGATGAATATGTATAGATAGGCACATAGCAAGAGAACTTCTGAAAGTGATGGAGATAAAAAAATACTTAGTATTCTGAGAAGTAGATGAATGAAAAGGAAATCTATGGTTACATTGGATATTCAGTTCTTTAATCAGTGCTCGTACTTACAGGAGGCTTACAGAGCTTTTTAGAATATTTGACATTCACTACTTCTTACATTCAAGCCCAAAGGGCATTAACCAAGCAGAAGATGATGGTTTTGGCTAATTGCATCTATCCTATTTTTATAAGGCTTCATTATAAACAGCCTACCTTCATTCGGGTGTCATGTGTTTTACTTCTTTATGGACCTTTGTTTCTAGTTAGCCATTGGGATAACTGGATTTTTAATACTTAAATAAAAATATCTTTGTCTCGTCCTAGTTATAACTTGCAATATAGATAATCACGTACTTGATATTTGAACTTTAGAATGTTTTGACTAGGAAGTTTGATTTTCTGGTCAATCTGAACTACCTTCTAATTTCATGTCTCCTTTTTCCTGTGTTACACCCTCCACTCCTAGCCCACATTACCTTTGTTTGTTTTGGCTTATCTTGTTTATAAAGTGACTTCAAGTTTCCACTATACCCACACTGCCCATCATTCAAGGTCTTGTTAAATATGACTCCTGCTAATTCTCCCCTAAACGTTGTAGCCTTGCTAACCCAAAGTAATTTTACCCTTATCATGAATACTCTAAAAATAACCACACATTATAAATCTTTTTTCATCTAATAGCACCAAGTAATATATTACTTTATTAATGTACATTATTATGCATTGACTTTGCATTGTATTCATGTTGTCTGTTTAGCTACATGGCAAGTTTCTGGTGGGATTGGATATGTTTCACAAAATGAAATAGATGATATAAAAATGCTTTGGAATCCAAATCATCAAAATGGCCATATCGTATACATATACTTTATAAAAGTAGTTAAGCAATTAATTGATAATTTATTAAATGGATTGTGTTCTGAGAGGCAGACAAAGAAGTTCTTATAAATGTTGATTTTGCAATGATCAGGCATGTAATGCTAGATTGAGAGAAGACATGTTTGACATATCCCAACAAAATAAGGTATCTAGGATTTTAAACTGGTTTTCTTCTACACATAGGTACATTTTAAGCATTTGTTAAGAACCAGATTTGATGTGAGTGCTTGTTTAAAGTTGTATCCATATTCAGAAATATCCATATTTTGACAGGTAAAAATGTTATGGGTTTTCTCACACAAAAGATCTACCTATTAGTTCTTTGTTAGAGCTTCACAAAATGCCTAGTACTTAGTAAATGCTTATTAAATAGTATATCTAATTAATAACAATCACAGAAATATTAATTGTTAAAATTCTCAGTTTTAGTATATTACAAAACGTATATTTTAATTATTTTATTTTTTATTATTTATTATGTTTCTTGGTCTTCATGTGGATTATTTAAAAGTGATAGCTTGTTCTTTCATTGTCTGCTTCTTTGTATCTCTCAAAATGTTAGTCTTGTATAAGCATAACACACATATGCTAGAATAGAATATATAAACAAAATATTTGCTGGAATAAATTTAAGCTGTGACAGTTTTACATCCTGGGTTTTATAAATGTTTGTATAATACACATATATTCCAGTATTTAATGATATAGACAGTTTAGTAGCCAATCTCATTCCTATATCTTTGAATGTTTTTCCCTTTAGTTTCTATCTTTCTTTGTTACTAACATTTGAAAGTTCCAGGAGGATGTGTCTCATATATGCATTAAGTTGTCTAGAAACGCACTTTTTAAAATGTGATCTTTAAATAAGGAAACTTTTCTTTTATAATTACTTTATTTTTTCCATGCTCTTTCTCTCCTGCTCCCTTTTTCTTTACTTTCTTTAATTTGTAGATTGAAATATTCCCTAAAAAGATTGTCCATCTTATTATTTTTTCTTAATTGATTTTTTCCTACTCTTTTCTTTGAATTTTGGGGGAAAATTTAGTACACTATCTTTCATTTATACAGATGATTCTATCACTTCTTCCAACTGCTCTTCTTTGCTTTTGTTGTGATTTTTAATTAGACAGTCTTGTTTTCCTTTTCATACTATTCTTTATGAATTCATGCTATGCTTGTAACTAGATCACATGATTTTATTGACAAAATCAAACCTTGGCTCTTCCAAGAAAATGGAATTTCCCTGTAGACTGTAACTAATCTCAAGCCTCCATGTTTATCTTAGCTAGAGTGGATAAATAAATAAACTGATCAAAATTTAATCAAACCAAATATTCAGTCTCTCTTCAATAAAAAAAATACTCTGTGTTTTGTGGGTGCCAGTTCCTCCTACTACTTCTCTCCCTAAAGACGTATCTGGGGATGAGTGTGTGTGGTGTTGTGTGGGACAGAAAGCCTGAAGTATAGTGTGACTGAGAAGACCTCATTTCATTAAAACAAAATTGTGGCTTTACGCATTGTGTTTTCTAGTCTTTGATGTGGCATTCTTGTCTTCATGAGTCTTTGCATGTGAAGTCTGAGACTCTGCATAGTTCGTGGTCTTCATTAGGTCTCAGTAGGGATTTGCACCTTGCTCTATGATGATATCTTCCTCTGAGTTTCCTTGGTTGTGATAAGTGAGGCACACTGTACACTCCTCTGCAAGGCCACCTTCCCTTGTTGCAAAGATCCTTCTGATCCACTCCTTTGCTAGATTCTCAGGTAAGATAATGTTTATGACACTGATAGAAGCTAAAATTCAGAGCTTTCCTCTCCTTGACAACAGTAAACCTCTAAGTTTTCTTTGATGGGGCTTCCAGAGCTCACAAGGGTATGTGAGGGCA